CCGACGCTGGCGGCTTCAGCCCCAGCGACGGTAGTTCGCTCGACACTGACAACGACGAAGGCCACACTCGTGACCCACCACCTGCCCAGGTTCCCGACGCCCTCCCCGCCAACGCCATTGTTGCCAATACCAAAGACATGCTTAAGCTCATGGTCGACACCTGGGAGCCCATCTTGGGCAGGTACCGCGCTCGCGCGGGCCATGACGCCGAAGCTATGCCGACGTGGGCGGACTTCTACGACGAGTACCGACAAGAGCTGCCTACGCCATCACCAGCAGCCCCTTTCCACCTCACCGACGACCAACTCATCCACTTCATTCGCACCCGTTCACCGCGCCGCGCGGGGGGACTCGACGGCTGGACAACTAAGGAGGCTAAGGAGTTACCCGACGACATCCTTCGCCTCTTCGCCAGCGTCTTACGTGCTATGCAACGCACTGGCACCATCCCCGAGCCCCTCCTACACGTGCCAAACCCGTGCCTCCGAAAAGGCCGAGGGGAACTCCCGACGGACCAACGACTTCTCTCGGTTCTTTCCGTTTGGATGTACGCGTGGGAAGCGCCAGCCTACCGTAGCCTCACGACCTGGCGGCAAGGATGGACCCATGCCACGAGCTTCGGCGCTGTTCCCAAAGCCGCCATTGGGGATGTCAGCACCTCTCTCGCCCTGCGCATCGAACACGCCAGGGCTTTACTCCTCCCCTTAGCTGGAGCTGCCCTTGACCGACAGAAGTGCTTCGACTACCTCATCACGGACATCTGCCTTAACCTTGCGCTGCACGCGGGGTGCCCTCAAGACATCGTTACTGCCCGCCGAAATTTCTACAGACACCACAAACGCTACATCCGCATGAACGGAGCGTACTCTAAGGACTTGGCCAGGACTAACGGTCACCTCCAGGGAAGCTCGTGGTCCCTGGACGACATCAAGCTTCTCATGTGCGTGTGGACAAAGAGGCAGCATCGATACGTTCCTCGATCACTCAGCACTACCTTTGTTGACGACAGCAACTCCACTACCCACACCGCGTTTGAGCTGCAGAAATCTCTTGACGAAACCGCCAAGTTTGACCGATTCTCAGGTCAACGCATTCACCCTGGTAAAGTGGCAGGGTGGGCGCTCACCGACGAGCTTCACGCCGCCGTTACCCAGCTCACACTGGCGGAGCGCCCCCTACGTGTGGTCGATTCCTTCAAGCTCGTCGGGAGTTACATCAACGCAGAGGCAGCGCCGGCTCCAGCCGCGCTTAACCTCACGGCCACCGCAGACGCCCGTGTACGGAGGGCGACTATCCGCCTGCCGCGCATTGGCAAGCTCCCATCGCCGATGCTTATCAAGGCGCGGCACGCCCGTTCCCTGGCTGCCAGCGTCTGCACCACGGGCACCGACATTCAAGCACCATCAGGCCCTGCCAAAACTGCCTACAACCACGCCCTCAAGGCGGCTATCCGCCCCAAGGGGAACAAGTGGGTCTGTGCCTGCGGCGACAGGTTAACCGCGACGTTACACTCTGCGGGCTCGCCAGAGACCTCCAACACCACGTCCAGACCCTGTTTGGTGGAGGACCCGTCGGACGACTCGTCCAGTCGCTCCAGCAGCTCCGATGGACCTGGCCCACATTTGGCATCATGTACGACGACTGGGGCTGCCAGATCAGCTGGCTGAATTTACCCCAAAACGCCTTCCTGCACATGCTGCGGGCCTCACAACGCAGGGCATTTCTGCGGAGGATCAAGCCACGGCGACACGACCTTGGCTACCTCGCCTCTGTCAGACAGGGCCTTGACCTCTTCGCCAGCACGTGGCTCGCCCGAACTAAAGGAGCAGCCAAATGCACTGCCTGGCAGCTGGCGCTCCTCCTAAACTACCTGTCGGGCGGGGATCACACCCAACAGCGACGATCCCGATCAAACACGTCGGCAGACCCCAGCCCCATCTGCCGCTACTGCGACGAGGAAGAGGAAACTCAGGAGCACACTGTCCGCGACTGCAAGTGCTGGGCCCGAGAAAGACTCCCTCTCACCACCCTCATCAGTGACGACCAGTGGGCCCGTCTTCCGCCGCACACAAGACACTGCGGGCTCTTCGACGAAGACCCAGCCCTCCTCGACCTGCAGGCCGACCTCGCGAGGGACCCGCTGCCACAGCCCATACCGCGGCCCCCCCCTGAGGGAGATCCTGCGGCTTCAGCCCAGGACACCTACACCACCTACCTTGACCACGACACTGGTTGGACATGGGTCTACGCTGCCACGGACGGTGCATGCACCAACCAAGCCATCCCATTGCTAGCAAGAGCGGGCTACGGCGTCTACTACGGCATCGACCACCGCATGAACTACAGTGCACGCGTTCACGGCCTAACGCAGAACGCCCAGGTTGCGGAGACCCTCGCCATTGTCCACCTTACGGCATGTGCCGAACGGCCCGTGCACGTTTTCGTGGACAACCAGGCGGTGGTCGATGGGTTCCAAAGCATCATCGACGGACATCCAGCGCCGCAGGGCACGCACGCGGAGCTCTGGGAAAAGATCCACCGATGTGTTATGGCCAAGCCCAACATGTTTCGCGTCGAAAAAATCGCCAGCCACCTGGGAGACCTGGGCATCGACCTTGGGCTCATCGGGCCCATTGCGGAGGAGTTCAACCGTCAGGCCGACGCCCTTGCCACAACGGCGGCACGCACTCACAACCTTCCTGACGACATTGTTGAAGCTGCCAAAACACGACATCGCCAAGCGACCGTGCTCCATGGGGTCGCTGTCGCTATCTACGAGCGCAGACACCGTACTCTGCCGCTCCCACACCGCAGGGCTGGGTTTACAGCTGCGGAACTCAGCAAAATGGAACCAAACCCCCTGCTGTCGGACCAGGCACCACCCGCGGCTGGACCATTCATCCCGCAAGACCCGGATGAGCTCTGGGCCGAGGCCCAACAGGCGATGCTCGATGAACAGGAGGACGACCCGTTCGGCTTCGGCGGGGGATTGGACTTCTTGGACGACGGCCCAGCCAGCGCCAACCCTGCCCCGTCGGGCAACCTCTCGACGCCCACCGCGAATCCGCCACCGAGAGCGACATCGCACCCACATGATGATGTCGCTCACCGTCAAGACGCCGACGATGACCTGGTTGATCCCCTCGGACTGAGTGGCAGCATAGACGACGCTCCGCCGACACCCCACGCTGCCGACGATGCCGCCCTATCGAGACGCCACCCGACTACGCGGCCGACCTCCGAGCCCTCGCACGGCATCATGATTGGTCCTACCGTGCCACCCACTCCGTCCCCCCACCAGCGCCAGCCCGCGGGGGCGGCTTCAGCCCCCCCGCAGGGCACCGAGCCAGTCAGGCCGCCGCACCCCGTCCACGCTTCCACTGTTGCTGGGCGCGAGGATGCGGCTCTTCCGACCTCACGGGGCGTGGCCCTAGCGGCTCCAGCCCTGGGGCCGCGTGGTTCCCTCCAGTCGCCTCTCAAGGGTGACGGCCGTCAGCACACGGAGCGCCGTACTGCGCTAGTTCACCACCTGGCCAGGCGCACCGATGACCTCGTCCCTGCCACGAGGCCCGCGGCCGCTGGCACTGAGCAGCCGCCCCTCACCGACCGCGAAACCGAGCTGACCCAGTCTATGGCCGCTCTTCAGCAGAGGTGTGCTGCTCTCGCCGCCGACCTTGCCGCTGCTCAAGCCCGTCAAGGCCCTCTGCTCCAGCGCCTCCACCGCGCCGGGCGTGCCTTCGCCGAGCTGCTTACGCCCTCGCCCGATGGTGCTGCGCCGTCACTCACCATCCAAGCTATGCTGTCATCGCTCCGCGGCGCTCCACCTGGTGCCCCACGCTAATTTCCTCCTTTCTGCCTGCCCGTGTGTACGCGTGGCTCCGCGTCCACGGTGTCAGGGCGTGGGGGCGGGGGGTGCCCCGTCCCTGCGCGCCGCTTTGCGGCCAAGCGCCCAACTGGCGGTCTGCCAAGCCGCCTAGCCACGTGTCAGCACGTCGCCTTCCATGTTGGGGCCTCTTTCTTCACGCGGTCTGACACGTGAGATCTTCACCGTCTGTCCGCCGTCTGTAGCGTCTGTCGCATTGCGCCGGGGGAGGGGGTTTTGTTGCCCGCCCTCGTATCTTAAGGCTGCACCGCCGCAAATAGTGTTTGGCGAGTTGTCGCACCGCAGTGCGCCTCGCGGACGGACCCTGGTCCGCCTACTTGTCCGATCTCTCTCTCTCTCTCTCTCTCTCTCTCTCTCTCTCTCTCTCTCTCTCTCTTTCTCTCTCTCTCTCTCTCTCTCTTTTTTTTTTTTTTTTTTTTGTTTCTCTCTCTCTTCTCTCTCTCTCTCTCTCTTCTCTCTCTCTCTCTCTCTCTCTCTCTCTCTCTCTCTCTCTCTCTCTCTCTCTCTCTCCTCTCTCTCTCTCTCTCTCTCCTCTCTCTCTCTCTCTCTCTCTCTCTCTCTATCTCTCTCATCCCTCCCTCTCTCTCTCCTCTCTCTCTCTCTCTCTTCTCTCTCCCTCTCTCTTTCTCTCTCTCTCTCTCTCTCTCTCTCTCTCTCTCTCTCTCTCCCTCTCTCTCTCTCTCTCTCTCTCTCTCTCTCTCTCTCTCTCTCTCTCTCTCTTCAGGGGGGAACTCCTCCTCCTCCGCCACGGCGATGGCCCCCGAGGTGGCGGTGGCTGCGGGGGGCCTGCCCATGCGGGGTGGCCCAGGGGCGCTGCGGGCGCTAGAGACCGTCACGTTTGGCGCCTCGGCCGCCCGCCAAGCCGCGCGCGCGAGGCGGCCGGCGGCGGCGGGGGCCGCGGACCCCATGCGGGGCAGCCCCGGGTTGTGGCAGCACCGCGAGGCGGCGGCGCGGTCGGCACTGGTGCTGACGGCGAGTGGGCGTCGCGTGCCAGGGGCGCGGAGGCGGCGCCGCAGCGCCCCGCCCCATGCAGCGCGCGTCCCCGCGCGGTGATTCGCCGCCGCCTCGGCTGCTGACATCGCTTTGGCGGCGGTTGGGCCGCGCCTAATTATGCGAGGTGAGCGCGGTGCACGCGGCGAAGCCGGAAGCTCGGCTGCTGAACGCCGCGGGCAAAGGCGACCCCGATGAGGTAGAGGTCCAGCTGAAGTTCGGGGGAGAGGACTTTGAGAGCTCCGAGATCCTGCTGGCGTCGTCCTTCCGCGCCGAGGCAGTGGAGCTCTTCCCCCATATCGCGGGCGTCGGCGAGGCGGAGGCGGAAGTCCTGCAGTCTTTCGTGGAGGCTCAGGTGCCCCCTCGTTCGCCGATGCCGACGTGCTTTTGGGCGAGCTGGTGACGCCCGCGGGCTTCGTCTCCCAGGCCCGCCTCCTGGCGGCGGCGGCGCCGCTGAACGGGATGCGGTGCGGCGCCGTGCCGCCGCCCCTGCGACGGAGACCGAGATGGTGATCGGCGAAGAGGCGGACATGGCGGACCCCCTGGGTGACCCCCTGGAGGAGAGGGAGGTCGTCGACGAAAAAGTAGTCGGCGTGAAGTCCCACGTGGGGGGTTCAAGGAAGGCGAGGAGTGAAAGGAGCTGCACGAGGCGGAGGCGACGGCTGCCACAGCGTGGGACCTCGAGGCCGATCTGCGGGCGGTCGAGGCCGAGCTCTGTCGGTACGAGGGCCTGGACAGCGTGCCAGTTGCGCAGCTGGCGGTCGAGGGCCCCGTCGACGCCGTGGGCGACGTCGAGCACACCATGGAGGGGAAGGGTGTCGTCGTGGAGGATTTCGTCGTCGCGGAGTCCCACGTGGAGGCTTCTCAGGAGAGCGAGGGGTCCAAGGCCGAGGTGACGGCGGCCGCGGAGAGAGACCTCGAGGCCGATCTGCGGGCGGTCGAGGCCGAGCTCTGTCGGTACGAGGGCCTGGACAGCGTGCCAGTTGCGCAGCTGGCGGTCGAGGGCCCCGTCGACGCCGTGGGCGACGTCGAGCACACCATGGAGGGGAAGGGTGTCGTCGTGGAGGATTTCGTCGTCGCGGAGTCCCACGTGGAGGCTTCTCAGGAGAGCGAGGGGTCCAAGGCCGAGGTGACGGCGGCCGCGGAGAGAGACCTCGAGGCCGAGCTGCGGACGATCGAGGCCGAGCTCTGTCGGTGCGAGGACCTGGACAGCGTGCCAGTTGCGCAGCTGCCCGTCGAGGGCCCCGTCGACGGCGTCGACGCCGGGGGCGGCGTCGAGCGCGCCCTGGAGGAGAATGATGTCGTCGTGGAGGAATGCGTCGTCGCGGAATCCCATGTCTCACGAGGGCGAGGTACCCGAGGCGGAGGTGACGGCGGCCGCGGTAAGAGACCTCGAGGCCGACTTGCCGTCGATCGAGGCTGAGTTCCGCTGGTGCGAGGGCGTGGGCCCCGTCGACGGCGCCGACGCCGAGGACCCCTTTGGAGGAGAAGGATGTCGTCGAGGAGGGTTATGACGTCGCAGAGTCCTGCGAGAAGGATCCCCAGGAGCCGAGGACCCCGTCGACGGTGCCGACGGCGACGACGCCGAGGGCAGCGCGGAGAAGGATGCTGCGGTGCGAGTGCTGGAACTGGAGCTGGAGGTCGGGCGGAAGGCCGCGATGATCGATCGTGCCCTCGTGCTTCGCGGTCTCGGAGCTTGCGATGATTTCGCGAAGTCGGACGAGCAGAAGGTCGTGGCGGACCTCGGGCTCCACAGCGACGACGGTTGCAGGGTTGCCGACGACGACGGCCGCTGCCGCAGCGACGGGCAGATCGAGGGCGTCGGGCTGGGCGGCCGCGCCAGGGGCGCCGTCGACCCGTCGCTGGACGATTGCAAGCAGCAGTAGATGCGAGGGCTGGCTCTTCGGCCGAGCGCGGTGGAGAACCGCGACGCCAAGGATGCCGCCAGGGCGCGCCGCGCCTAGGGCGCGGCGGGCAGGGCGCGCGGGTGCCGCCTGCGTGGCTTCTACTTCCCTCCGCTCCACTCCACTCCACTCCTCCTCCTCCTCCTCCTCCTCTTTCTCTCCCCCTCCTCCTCCTCCTCCTCCTCTTCCTCCTCCTCCTCCTCCTCCTCCTCCTCCTCCTCCTCCTCCTCCTCCTCCTCCTCCTCCTCCTCCTCCTCTCCATTCCCTCCTCCCCCTCCTCCTCCTCCTCCTCCTCTCTCCTCCCCTCCTCCTCCCCCTCCCCCTCCTCCCCCTCCTCCTCCACCCTCCTCCTCCTCCTCCTCCTCCTCCTCCTCCTCCTCCTCCTCCTCCTTTTCCTCCTCCCTCCTCCTCATCCTCCTCCCCCTCCTCCTCTCCTCCTCCTCTCCCTTCTCCTCCTCCTCTTCCTCTTCCATTTCCTGCTCCCCCTCCTCCTCCTCCCCCTTCTCCTCCTCCTCCTTCTCCTCCTTTTCCCCTTTCCTCCTCCGCCTCCTCATCCTCCTCCTCCTATTCGATTCGTTCTCCGTATGGATCTTTTCCCCTGTCGCGCCCCGGGGCCAGTTTTCAGGGCTGGCCAGGCGTTTCGCCCGAGACTTTCTCTCCATTTATGATTGTGAAGCTTAAACGTGAAACCAGTTGCACAGATGGAGGGCGGATGGTTTTCAATGTATGGTTTTCGCTTCAGCGCCGCGCGCATTCGTTTTAAACAGCCCGCAGGAGCTGCACGGATTGAGGGCGGGTCGTTTCCAACATGCGGCTCTCACCTTAGCGCCGCGCGCCTTTTGTTTTCAAGGTTTGCAGTTGTTTCACGAATTGAGGGCGGGCCGTTTTCAAAATGAGGCTCTCGCCTTAGCGCCGTGCGCATTCGTTTTAAACACTTGCAAGGGTTGCACGGATTGACGGCGGGTCGTTTTCGAAATGTGGCTCTCGCTTTAGCGCCGCGCACCGTCGTTTCGAAATTCGCAAGAGTTTCACGGATTGAGGGCCGCTCCTTTTCAAACTGCGGCTCTCGCTTTAGCGCCGCGCACGTTCGTTTATTACATTTGCAAAAGTTTCACGGGTCCCTGCGAGTAATATACCAAAAATGGTGCTTGAAACGGATTCAGGGCTATGCGGGCGCAGCATTTATGTAGATTCGCTGTATCGAAGTCCCCCCCAAATGGCGTGTTGGGACGATTTTGGATCGTCAAGGCGCAGCTGTCAGGTGCGGCGTTGAAATATCGAGCACAATGTTTTGGCACGCTTCAGGATCTTCAAAGTGTTGTCTTCCAGCGAGGCTGTTCCCCCAATGGAAATGAATCGTTGCAGGGGCCTGTGAACAAAAGGGAGTTTGGAGGGAAGGTGAGTTTGAATTTCAACATCGTTGATGACTCATGGGTTTCCATTGGTCCTCCTCCTCCTCCTCCTCTTCTTGGCCTCGTCTTGCTCAGTGGCTCGTCATCGTTCCGGCGAGCGCTTCCCAGTTGTTGCTGCCTGACCCTGAGCCCGTCGTTGCCCCTTGGATCATATGCTGACAACTAGCTCCCATAACCTGGTCCCCCTGGGTATCTCATGGTGGAATTCCATGGGAGCTATGGGTGCGTGCGTGCGTGCGTGCGTGCGTGCGTGCGTGCGTGCGTGCGTGTGTGTGTGTGTGTGTGTGTGTGTGTGTGTGTGTGTGTGTGTGTGTGTGTGTGTGTGCGTGTTGTCGGATAGGGGTCCCGGCTCAAACGGGAGCCCCCCTCGGGGCCCTTCGTCCTCGCCACAGGTTTTAGCATGTGTGTTGTTCGGGGAAATGAAAATAAACGATCACGCCAGACCTCTCCTACGGTTTTATCTGACCAGGATTTCGAGGCGAATCCGGCCGTGGCGACGAGGGCCTCCCAGGAAACCCCAAAAGGGTGAAAACGAGGCGAGGTTGGGCCACATCGGTTCCTCTTCCTCCTCGGCTGGGCTGCAGGGCCGCGGCCCCGCGGATGCGGAGCGTGTTGTGCCGCGGATGCCCCGCGCAGAACGTATCCGTGCGACTGCGTATCCGCGGGAACTCACCTTGGGAGTCCAGACCCCTCGGGCGCGGACACGGATACGTTTGCCGTTCGTGACGGGGTTTCGTAGGGCGGGGTTCTCCCAAGGTGGGGTTCGGGAGCGGCACCCAATGGATGTTCACGTTTTCTTTTCTTTGCAAGGGCCATGTAGGGCGATGTTCTTCTAATCCCACCTCTCCCACTCACCCATCTTTACGTCCCATCCATCGTGATGTGTGTTCACGCTCCTTTCTCGCAGGGCCATTTGGAGCGGTTTGCCACTGACCCCACCTCTGCCCCTACCCCACCTTTGCGTCCACCCCATCGTGATGTGTGCTCACACTTCCTTCTTCACAGGGCCATTTGGGGCGATCTTCCTCTAACCCCACCTCTGCCCCTACCTCACCTCTACGTCCACCCGACCGTGATGAGTGCTCACGTTTCCTTCTGCCCAAGGCCATTTTGGGCAATGTTCTGCTAACCCCACCTCTGCCCCCACCCCACCTCTACGTCCACCCCATCGTGATGAGTGTTGTGGTTGATCGGCGGCGCGCGAGGGGGGGAAGTGAAAAAGGGCGGGCCCTCCCAGAATGCTTGGAAGTCCGCTGGACTTCTGAGAAGTTTTCTGAACCTCCCCCGAAGACAACGATAAATAACAACCTCAGAAGGCGCGAGGGCTTCTGCGAAGCCCCGCCGCCTTCTGAGATGGCCCATTCTTCTCACCTCTGCCCCTACAGTCGACCCGCATTGTAACGATGGACAATTTCCCTAAGGGTACCCTTGTATCCTTGCCTCCTCGGCCCGTCCTTAGCGACTTTCGCTGGCCGCGCCCCGCCCGCAAAGTGTCGACGTGGCCTTCCGAGGCCCCCGCGTCCTCATCGCGCCTCCTTTCGATACGGGCTGACTGGACCCCACCTCCACGTCCACCCGACCGTGATGCACACATTGGAAGGGACCTCTCAAGCTTTCCTCAGGCCTGCGTAGTGTCCACAAGAGCAAGAACGCAGCTGAGCACAGGGGGCGTGCAGGCAGCAACAGAGCTCGCACATGCAGAAGCGAGGTGCGGATGACGCTGCAGAGCCGTGGGAGAGCAGAGCACTGACAGCGCTGCTTCCCTCCCCGCCGCGAGGCCCGTCGCGGACGCCGTCCACCGCCAGCGCCCCTACGCCGGGCCGCTCCCCCGCCAGCTCGCGCTGCCCCAGCCCCGAGGGCGCCCCAGGCCGGCCCAGTGCGGCGGCGGCGCGCTGCGGAGCCGCGGCGCCCGCCGCGGAGGCGCCGACGACGACGACGACGACGACGACGACGACGAGGTGTGCGTCGCCCTCCCAGGGGCGACGCGCGCACCGAGAAATCCTACAGTACATTCGTCGTGGCGGGCGCTGTCTCGCCTC